AGATCTTATTTCTATGAAGATTTCTGCTTCACTGACTCCCCTTTTGTGATATTTTTCAGGCTTTTATTTCCTTCAGTTCCTTTTAATGTTTCTGAAGAGTCAGTTTTACAAGCTTTCTAGAGCCACTCTATGCACATAAAATAACTTTGGTTTCAATGGCTAACTTCCATGTGGTATACTTTTCTCTCTTAAAAATTTATTTGCTGCCAGGCTCCCTGGCTCGACCTGTAATCCCGTGCCTTTGGGAGGCTGAGGTGAGTGGATTGCCTGAGCCCGTGGGTTCGAGACCCGCCTGGGCAGGCGAGACCTCGTCTCTACAATAAAATCAAAAAATTAGCCTGGCATGGTAGCACCTGTAATTCCGGCTACTCGGAAGGCTGAGGCGGAAGGATCACTGAAGCCCAGCAGGTTGAGGCTGCGGTGGCTGGGAGTGGACACAGCACTCCAGTCTGGGCGACAGAGTGAGACTTCAACTCAAAAAACAAACAAAAAAAAATTTGTTGTGAATATCTTAGATTTCTTCAGAAATAAAATTTCAAGATGTGGCTTTTCTCTGCCATCTGAAAATAGGAGACTGTATATATGGATTTTAGAAGATGATCAGTGAAGAACATATTTGTAAAAAGCTCTTTTGTAGTTATCTCCTTTCATTGTAAGGTGAAGTAGTTGCAATGGGAATAACTAATCTCAAGGAGGTGTGCGTCTTTGGATTGAAATTTTCTTGAATAAACAAGCATATATAGATTATGCTGGGTTTCGTTTTTACTTAAAATGACCAATGAATAATACTACACAACGAGGGTGTGATATTTTATTTGTTTTTTTTTTTTTTTTTTTTTTAGTTGGAATCTCACTCTGTCGCCCAGACTGGAGTGCAGTGGCCGCTCCCGGCCACCGCAGCCTCGACCTGCTGGGCTCCGGCAATCCTTCCACCTCAGCCTTCCAAGTAGCCGGAATTACAGGCAGGCGCTACCACGCCTGGCTGATTTTTTTTGATTTATTGTAGAGATGAGGTCTTGCTGCCCAGGCGGGTCTCGAACCCACGGGCTCAGACAATCCACTCACCTCAGCCTCCCAAAGGCGCGGGATTACAAGCTGAGCCACCGAACCTGGCTAGGATGTGATATCTTAAAATTATCTAATTAAATTATAAAACTGACTCAACAATATTTTGTAAACCTACATGGTGCAAGGCACTCTGCTGGACCATTTATCAGTGACTTGCTAAGCAAGTCATTTGTATGGAAAGGTGCTTGAAATTCTCAGTGATCTGTAAAGTAAATAATTCTAGATGGGCTTGTGTCAAACTCGTCTTTCAAAAAATTACTGTATCACCTATTTTTTAATGAGAAATTTAAATACAGTTAAAATTACCTTAAGATAATGTTTAATGCCTAATGTCCAGTGTCTGTAGATCTCATCCCACACAATCCAAATTCCCTCACACAGTGATATTTTCACTGTTCAAAAATCGTACTGCACTTTGAAATAAAGGGGCATACATGAATGGAGGTTTAAAAATCTATTTCCCATATTTTTAAACAGAGATTATGACTATCAACCTTGGTTTGCTTAAACAAAGTCACTGAAGCAAAGTAGCATTTTTTTGAAAAGTTCTTGATAATGGGCAACTGAATATCTACAACTAACTACTATTCAGTAGCTGAAAATAATGGCAGAGAATATTTGGACAGAAATGGAAACAGAATATGGTTTAAATTTGTGTAAATATAAGATATTTGGATTTCAATTTTTGAAATATGTGTAAATGGATGAATAGCTTGGATTTTTTTTTTTTTTTTTGAGTTGGAGTCTCATTTGGTCGCCCAGACTGGAGTGCAGTGGCTGCTCCCAGCCACCACAACCTCGACCTGCTGGGCTCTGGCGATCCTTCCACCTCAGCCTTCCGAGTAGCCGGAATTACAGGCATGCGCTACCACGACCGGCTGATTTTTTTTTTTTTTTTGTAGAGATGAGGTCTCACTGCCCAGGCGGGTCTCGAACCCGCGGGCTCAGACAATCCACTCACCTCAGCCTCCCAAAGGCGCAGGATTATAGGCTGAGCCACCGAGCCCGGCTAGCTTGGATTTTTATAAAGCAATTCAGCTCAGTTCAATTACAGGCTGAACTGTAATGTAGTTTAAAATATTGATGTAGCAAGTATTTAATTATACTATTTTAATTGGATAGAAAAACAAAACAAAAGAAAAAACTGTTACCTATTTGTGAAACAACTGACAGAAAAATCTAACAAGTGTTAAACTAAGTTTAGCTTAAAGCTGCCTTCTGATAGATTTTGAGTTCAACCTAAGGGTTTTTTCACACAAAGTGAACTGTAACTTAATTGGATGTGTAAAGAGACTGTGACCCAACCTTGTACTAATCACAGAGTTTCAGCCAATCAGACAACTTTTCAAACCATGTTCAAACAAGGCAAATGCCAAACTGTTGCCAATCCAGATGTTTCTGTATTTCACTTCCTCTTCCTACATGTCACTTTCCTTGTTCTGTCCAAAAATCTTCTGTGACTATGTGGCAGCTTCAGAGTCTTTCTGAGCCTGTTCTGGTTGGAGTGGGGGATAGGGGTTCCTGATTTTAATCGTTCCTTTGCTTGATTAAACCCTGTTAAATTTAATTTATCTAAACTTTTTGTTTTAAAACAATGAGCTCTAATTCTAACAGAAATTTGTGGAAAATTTTATTTTTTAGGAAAAGCAATAAATTTTTAAAAAACAATTTGTTATTATAAGCAAAGTTGTATTTCTGATGTTTTAATGGCACCTTCTGTGAATGTCTGAGATGCTTTCATACCTAGTCTCAACAGAGCTTATATTTTTTCACTCTGAAAATAAAATGAAATGGCTTTTGCCTCAATTTACTTTTTTTATTTTTATTTTTTTAAACCAAATAGGAATCCTCATGCTAAAAATAACTGGGAAAATTACGTTTTTATCATAAGGTGTGGCTTAAGTGAAAAGCAAATTTTGTTACTAAGTTGTTTTGTTGTTCCTAAAGTTACTTATTATATTGCATTCTGATGTATTGGCGATTTTATGCAAAATAAATAAGCTGGGAATTTTTTGGTTTTAATTTTTCTTGCACAGCTACAAATTATGGGTAGGGCTATCTATTTTGCAAAGAAATGTTTCGTATCTACAGTGTAATGAGTAAAAGTCATGAACATAAACTTCACTGACAAGTGCAAGTGGCCAATGAAAAGAAGAAAAGATTACCTCACTAATAGCTACAAAATGAAAATGAAAAAAGGCATTATTATCAACATATATTTACTTGAATTTATCAACAACAAAATAAGAAACATCGATGGAATTACAAATCATTAGGTTATTATTTGTTCACAAGTGATAGTTACTCGTAAAAGATATTCTAAAATAAAGAAATAAAATTATAAAAAATACTAAAAACTTGAATAAATGTTTTGTAACTACATGTTCCAACTTTGAACAGTTTCTATTGTGATTTTTTAATATTCTGGTGTCATTTATGTTTTATTCAATAACCATAATTCCATAATTGACGCCCTTGTTTTATGTTTGACTGGATTATAATTTTAATGTCAGTTGTTTTAGTTTTTTGACCTACTTACTTTGATTACTCTTTTTGAGTGTACTTTTTGCCCAAGAAGAATTTTTAAGAAGAGTTCTTGGATATTGTATTTTTTGAATTTTTTGTTGGTTTAAGAGAAGCAGACTCTGGTCTTTATAAATAGTAGTTTGACTGTACATAATATTACTAGTTTTGCTTTTATTCTCAGTCTTTTCTAGATATTGCACATCACCATTCTCTGGCATTCGATGTCACGGAGTCTAAGGCCACTGTCATCATTTTCTTCTTTGTGTCTAATTGTGAATATAATTCTTTAACCTTGATATTTACCAACATTACCAGAATATATTTTGGTGTTAATCTGTCCTTGTCAAGTTTTCCTACCAAGGTCTTCTACCTGGTGTATCAAGACTCACTTCCCATCACCTCCTTCTTTACTGGGGGCACTCCAGCCTTGCCAACTATTTGTCCTGTGAATGCATACTACTACTTTATATCTCTGTTACTTGGCACAGGTAAATGAAATCCCCTCACTTCCTACCCCAACTCTGTCATTTGCTGCTACTGTAATGGCAGAGTCAGCTCAAGCTTCTCCTTGCCTTGAGACTCCCCAGGTGACCCAGTCACTTTCTCCCTTCCACCTCATGAAAGATAACATATACCTGTATTACCTTGGTACCCGGAGTCACCATTCCCGTTAAAGACTTTCTCTCACCCAGGACTGTGAGCTCCAAGGGGAAGGACGCTTACCTCATACCCACACAACTATGCCAACATGGTAAAGCCCGAAAGTTTTTGATGGTAAGACATTGTGTATGTGGATTGGGTAATATGCAGACAAATTACTGAGGAGCTAGTAAACAGGAAAAGTGGATATCTGAGAATTCCAGTGTTCTGATAGGGAAATACTTATCAGATACCGATGGCGAGATAGCTAAAATTATTGAGGGGAAGCCTAAAGGGGATGGAGGCGAAAAGCCTGACCTCCTCTGCAGTTATTAGCTCAGGTTCCAAACGCAGGTGGCAGCTGTCCCTGGGAGTCCGGAGTCTGCTCTCCTGCGCCATAATCTTTCTCCGGAAGGGCATGCGTGGTCAGCCCTTTTTCCATTTTCATTTCCATACTTAATGCTCGCTCTCGCCACCACGATCCCCGCTCCGTCCCACCGTACCGCAGTGAAAACATCCTTCTGTGGAGTAGGGTGTGGTGGGAACACCAGGGCGGGGACAGTGGGGGCGGAACAAGCAGTGCGCATGCTCCATGGGGGCGCGGGGGCGGGAGCAGCATTGTGCCGTCAGGCGGCGCCTGCGCCCTGCGTCACCCGGCGTCCCGGACTCAACGGCTGGGAATCGGTCAGGGGGACTCGGGGCGGGATGGTGCCGCGGTGCCAGGCAAGGGGGGAAGGGGTGCGTGCGTGTGAGCCTGGTGCGGAGGCCCTCCCGGACGTGTCTGTTTAGCCACTTCCCTCCACAGACTCCGCTTGGCCATCCTGACCTCCCCAACACACATCCACACTGACCTGGACTTTGGTTCCGAGCTGCCACCGCCACAGTCACCTCCACAGCCACCACCGTGGTGGCCCCTTCACGCCACTTTGCTCCAGCCTCCCCAACAGAAGTCAAGTGCACTCCGTGAACTCTTTGTGGCCAGGTCACGGCGTCGCGGACAGGCTGACTTTCCTGGATCTTTTTTGGATCTCCCCTTTTGCCAGATTATTTCTTTGCGCGAAGCTAAATATTTAATCTAAAAAGAAATGCACCCAATTAAGAATTCTTGAGAAGAAATGTGCTTCACCTGTGGATGTACACACCCTTGATTATTTGCAAACCTGTGATTATTTTGTAGAGAACTATTTGTAGTGAGCGACAGGTGAGTTGTTTTACTTAGTAGGATCCTTGGGATAACAGTCTGTTGGCACTGGTATCTCCTAGGAAATACCAGTTATCCTGTATTTCAAAACCTCTTGCTTTTATAAGTGCAGGTTTTGTGTGTTGCATAATTTAATCTTCAGCAGCTGGGTCCAGTGTTATGTAGACTGGAATCAAAGTTCATTTAACAGCTATGAATGGACTATTTTTTCGCTGGTCATTTAGTTTATTTGGGCAATTCATCTCTTGACTCATATTTGTTCATTGCTTAAGTGTTTATAAAAGGTACTGTAATTTTATGTCAATTAAAGACAAGCTTAGCATGTTTTCTATAAAGATATATAATTAGGATTTTTGCTATGGGACACTTAAAAGACAGAAATTAGTCTGAATTGTGTTTAAAACATAACAGGTTTTCAAAATTTGTATTTGTAGACATGAAATTTTTTATGAATGATTCCATTTAACTTATAAATTTTGTCTTTGACGAAAGTAATACATTTGAAAAATGAGAAAATGTCTCTGCATGGGCAGACAGAAAAGGACTATGAGTTCTTCTTAAGAGCATTTTATTTATTTTCAGGTTGAAGTATTGTATTTTGCAAAACGTGCTGAAATAGTGGGAGTTCGTTCAGAGACCATTTTTGTGCCACAAGAAATAAAAGCATTGCAGCTGTGGAAGGAGATAGAGTCTTGGCATCCTGGGTAGTTAAATGTTTATAGAATGAATGTGATTAACACATTTTTAAAAATATTTTAAAAATGTATAACTGCTAAACATTTCTAAAAAGGGTAATTTCCATGCTTATTGCCAATAAAGGGTCATTAGTTTTATATTTTTCTGGAACTACTGAAAATTTAAACTCTAGTCTTTTAGAAAAGCAACATTTTTAAAGAAAGGCTAGAGGTATTTTATCCAAAAAACACAGTAAGCTGGCATACTCCCAGAGGTACATGATTATATCCTCTTTCATAATTTACAAAATACTTTACATATAGAATCTGCATTTTTATAACATTAATTGAAATTGTTACAAATTTTGTTAAAAATATGTTTTAATCTTTTTTGTTCTGCCCCCTCTTTAGAGAATGCAAAGAGAAATTTCTAAAGTTAAAAGAAAAATTAGCTACAACAAATCCTAGATGCAATTGAATTTCAATTTTTTTTCAATATTTAAATTTTTTCTGGTTCTTGAAAATCTATAATTTCATTGCTGTCATTCCTACTTCAAGTCTTTTTTGGAACAAAATATGAAAGCGACTTACTGGAAGGTGTTCCAGGAATATCAATAGTCTCCCTTAAGTCTGTATAATTGTTTAACCTGGAAGTCCAGGTGCTTTGTAAAAGATACTCAACAATGTATGTTTAGATTCTTGATTTCACATCTTTTAAGGTGCTCTTACAATGACCTGATAACCAATGAAACATGGTGTGCCCTCTGTTCTACTTTACCTTGAATCTGTTACCTGCAGGGAGAAACCTGGTCTTGTACACATTTTCACTATGCCTGAGAAGAAAACTTACATTGTCCAGATATGAAGAAACAGCTTTATTATTATAACTGTGTTGCAGGTGGCACTGTGAACCATGCCATCTTTTCATCTTTCTAAGCAACTTTTCTGTATTTGAATAGGATAATGTGTACAAGCACAGTTTGTGGGAAATCTTATAGCTTTACTTAGTAGGCTTGTACACATAGGTGGATGGCCCCTAGAAGGGCCATGCATGAATTTGAAAAGTTTAATTTTCTTTTGACTTGGTTTGAATATTGTTTCCAGTCTGGTGGTTTTTTTCGTTGTTTGATCCTCCATGACACACAACTTCCAATAAAGAGTTGATAGCAGTTTAATGTGTTCTTTGCAGTGAAAAGGTGTGTTCTTCAGAGGATATGTCCTTTGCCTATAGAATGAGTTAATTAGTAATTTTTCAGGCGACGCTTCACATAGTATTATTATGTAATATCTTACATTGCAGCTAAGGAGATTTGTGGCCTATCACAGCATTGATACGTCTAATCATATTTTTTCCCCTTCAGATTGGCTGATGTTAAAAATAAAGTGATATTTGCTGTTTATCAAGAATATGTCGAGCTTGGAGATCAGCTCCTTTTGCTTCAACCGGGAGACGAAATTGCTATTGTCCCCCCCATTAGTGGAGGGTAGTGCTTCTGAGCTGTCTAGTTATGTGAGATTTGTTTTTCTTAACCAGTCTTATAGAGAAGAATTGTATAGATGATAACTTGTATGTGGTTTGAGGTTGCTGTATATTCTTTGTAAGTCTGTCTGCACCATATCTTTATTGATTCATCAGCTGTTATTGATCCAGACACATTTATAAATACTACCCTATCATCTCTGCATCAATTTTATTGTAAGCATTTTAATTTAATATCAGTTTGATATGTTTGTATATTTATAATGGTTTATTCAGATCTTAGTATTAAATATCAGGAACAGTGCTAGACAGTGGAATATTAGGATACATATTTTGCAGATGAGAAGAATTCAGAGGAATTAAAAAACTCATCTCTGATCTCATAGCTGATAAATGAAAGAACTAACATTTGAACTCATAGGACCCTTTGTATCCTTTTTTTCAAATGTGCTTACTAGTAATAGATAATAGCTCTGCTGTGCACAGAGAAATGTAGGAAAAGTGCACATCTAGATAGTCAAAAGATTACTATGCCTGAGAAGAAAGCCTACCATTGTCCATCTATAAAGATACTGTTTTTTAGTCATAGCTTTGTTGGAGGAGGAACTGTGACCATGCCATCTTTTCATCTCTCCAAGCAACTTAGTTCATATTTGAGTAGGATAATGTGCATGGACATTTTTCTGTGTAGTCTGGAGAGATCATGCTTATGTGCATACAGAATGAGGCATAATTTATTATCAACTAAAGAGTACATAATGTAGAAATTATCAGTCATCAATCAAAAACTCTTGTAAGTTAGGATAGAAAGAAACCTTTCTAAATTTCACAGGATTTTTAACCCCAAATCAAGAGTAAATATCATACTTGATCATAAAAACTTGGTTCCATTAGACAAAGAAACAAGTCAAGGATGCCTTTTTATTTTTTCACCCATTTTCCCCACCATCCTTGAGGGTAATGCCACAAAAGAAGAAGGAGGAGGAGGAGAAAGGGGAGGAGAAGGAGGAGGAGAAGAATATGCAAAGAT